TGTTGATATTACAATAAGGTAGGCTATGTTGACATCATAATAGGTAGGATATGTTGACATTACAATAAGGTAAGATATGTTAATATTACAATAAGGTAGGATATGTTGACATTACAATAAGGTGGGATATGTTGAAATTTCAATAGGGCTAACATGATAGACTTATAAAATTATTACATTTACAGGATGGTAATAAATTATGAAAAAAGATGACAATCATAGAATTGTGGGAATTAACTGCAAAATACATTGTTGTAGATGTAAAAATTATATTGGAATTGTCTTGTTTACCTTATATGAAATATTATGTTCCTGAATCTTATAATATGAAAAGATTAGAAAAAAAATCAGCATTATTGATTATATTGTTTTACATAATTCAGGATATCATTTTCATCATATGGTGAAGGATTTTGTACAGCTGGATATAACCTGATATTAGGACCACTCCCTTATTTGGACTACTGCAAGACACATGCACAAGACGTTCCAACTTCTCCAGTCATGTATCGCTCAACCAGGGACCATATTTGGATTAAATATGTGATAGGCTCTCAAACAGGAAACAGATTTTTTCCATACCAATTTGCATTAGAATATATAACAAGTAAGTGTTACTAAAAGATGATTGATGTTAAAAATTTATTTAGGTCATCTTTTCGTAAAATACTAAGTTGCAGAAAATTATTGAGGTCTAGGAAATTCAAACTGAGTATGTCTGTATGTAAAAAAAACGTAATGTGCATTGAAAACTATATTTTTTAGTATGAGTCAAATTAAGTTGATAATATCTTAAAAAACTGGCAATTTTTTAACAATACTAGCTATGTAATCATACAGTATTTACCTCTAGTATGTGACATATTAAGTCTGTGTGCACTCAAAACATGTTTAATTTACATTTACTAAAGACTGTGTAGAAATAATCACTATTTTTAAAAATGAAATTTGGGCATAATATATCTTATATTAACAGGTAAATATGCCTTCCCTAAAATGGGGATATACACCCTACTTTATCCATTCATATGTCAGGCTATCAATCAGTGTGTGACCAAATACTTTCTAGCTTTTTCTTTAAGAATATTGCAGTTGAATTATATGTAAAAAAGTTTTGTTTGACAACCAAATAAACTTTTGTAAAATGAGTGGGAGGTTCAAGTTTCCAGGTACATTACACTTAAAACCGTCATAGTCTATACCCTTTAACTATCTCTACCATTACCATATCTTAGAGGTAAACAGTTCAGATAAGCTCTACTTACTATACCAGTAAGACGTTTATACCAATATAATTTAAGAATTTATGACTATAGTTATTATTTGAGGCAGACCTTCCAACTTGTTTGAAGACCTTTCGACCATAATGAGGAAAGCTTCCACCTTGTTTTAATCTGCTTTTAGTATCCACCATCAATGTTTAAAATCTAATTTGACTTAAAATATCATGAATGAAGTTGAACTATTTTCATGAGTTTTATCATTAAAGCTCAATAAACTTTTTGCACTACATTTATATTTAGACTGTCCTCCTGTATTATATTTTTTGGATTTTCCTGCTTTTCTTTTTATCCCCCCAAAATTGATAATTAGTGTTACTGTTGGTTTGCTGGGCCCATGATTGTTTTTTTAAATACCTTGTCGGCCTTTTATGCATCAGGGTTAAAAACCTGGTTTTAAAATATTAGAAAATAGTGTTGTTTTTCCGTCCCCAAGTTTTAGGTAGTACTTTTAAAAGTAAGATAAAGGTCGCAGTTTGAAAAATTTGTCAGGAATAATTTGTCATACATCAAGAATTTTGAATAATTTGCAAAAATGGGCAGAGTGTTCAGAATTAGTCCCCTGTAGCCCAAGATAAAGGGGTAAAACAGGTAAAGGTCAGCAGGTAGAAAATCTTGTCTGGCCCATAATGCTGCCATACATCAAAGGATTTTGAAGTTAGCTGGCAAAAGTGTTTAGCGTTATCTTTGCAACTTAGATAATCAATTCTTTACTTTGACAATAAATATAAGGGTTTCTTATGTAAAAACCCATGAATTAAACTTGAAAATCTACTTAAAATGACTCCAATACAGTAATTTTTGTAACACGAAAATGATTCATGTAGTCAAATGACACAAGCAAAAACTGATTTGACCCAAAGAGTCTTTGACTCATGAGATTTTGACCCAACTGAGAGCTCTGAATTTTTTATTTTTCCATTTTTATGCTCCAGTAAAGGATTAACTGAGAAATATGTGCTCTGCCACTTAAAAAGTTATGTCTTGTGAATACTAAAAAAAATGTTTTTATCAACAGAGTCATCTGTCATTACTTTGAAAGGTCTTTTATTGCAAAAAGATTTATGAAAAACCAACTATGCTGTCCTGTCATACATCTTTATTCATAATTAATCTAATATATAGTGGGGGCATCCATGGCTTATAGATCTCAAATATGACAAAGAAGTATGTGTTGTGAAAATGCAAGTTATGATATTATAGGAAAATGTTAATAATTTACAATATACTGTACATGTATATATATGACATGTATTGTGTTTTTACAAGTGTTTTTGAATAAGTAGCAGCTTGAAATATCTTATAACTACGGTGTCCTTATCGTGCCATTTAGAATGTCGTCCGTCGCGTCTAAGGGTAGACACACGACAATGCGAAGTGACATCGCGACAATGCGAAGCGACGCTCGACAACGCGAAGCGATATGCGACAATGCGAAGCGACGCTCGACAGTGTCAAACGATATGTCGCACTGTCGCCTAGAAATGTCGCGGTAAAAAAAGGGCGACATTTAAGAGATGTCGCTTCGCGTTGTCGAGTGTCGCTTCGCATTGTCGAGCGTCGCTTCGCGTTGTCGCGATGTCACTTCGCGTTGTCGCGATTTCACTTCGCGTTGTCGCATTGTCACTTCGCATTGTCGAGTGTCGAGGTTGGTAGAAGTGCATACCACGACACTCGACAATGCGAAACGACAACGCGACAATGCGATACGACGCTCGACAATGCGAAGTGACACTCGACATCGCGAAGCGACATTTTTAAAATGTCGAGTAAATGTCGCGTTATTTTTATGATTTTTACACAGCGACGCTCAACATTGCGAAGCGACACTCGACAATGCGAAGCGACACTCGACAACGCGAAGCGATACTCGACAACGCGAAGCGACACTCGACAATGCGAAGCGACATTTGGAATAATATCGTATCGCATTGTCGTGCGTCTACCGGTGCTTGGTCAGAATTTACTAACTCACGGCAAACGGTGCGATCATGGAAGGGGTCGCACTAAACTGCTGACGAATTAGCTGACGATATAGAATATATAGGAAACTGCTGACCAGTTAAACAAAGAAGGATTATCGAAAACTGCTGACCAGTTACACAAAGAAGGGAAACATTGAAGGTGTCAAATTGCCGTTGGTGATATTACAAGCGAGGTCGAGAAATACTTGATAAAATGTTTTTTCAAGATGTCAATATTACAAATGATACATATTAATTATAAAAAATTCAATTGATATATACTGTATATTTCTCAATTTATTTTGATATAATATTTTATTTAAGTACCTTAATGAATTTTCTTCTATGTGTTATATATTTGGTTAAAATTTTAAAAATGTAGTCAAAATATGATGTACGAAAAATCATAATTTGTTTCAAGTATGTATAAAACTATGCATCATAGGTTAAAATATATACATGTACATATACGTAATGTATATTTTAACAAAATATAATTATTATGTCGCATTTAGTGCAAATATGAAATAAAATGATTTCTGTTTCCTTATTTGTTGTTCGTATAATTGTATAAGTAATATTGAACAAAAATTAATAATGTGCTAATTGTTATAGTTAATAAGCTTTTATTACATTATAAACAACATGTTTCCACAGATATCCATTAAACTGATAATTTATCGAGATCGATATGCCCCAAGGTCATATTAAAATCGATTTCACACGCGACGTGTCATTCTTGATTTATCTATGACAAAATACAATAAACAGTCAAAAAATATGTAATTAAAATGCTGACCATATTGTAGAATCTGCTGACCAGTTAGAAATATAGAGAAAAATATATTTAAATGCTACGAAATTGTTACTCATTATGCAAATTTAATATATTTTATAAAATAATGTCGACATTTAATTAAGTAAAAACACTGCTGACCAATTTAATGTTAATTCAAATTGATTTAAGCCGTAAAAACTCTCTTATTATATATGGTCAGCAAATTTTACGCTCTTTACATTCAGGCGAGAAAATGCTGACCAGTTAAAAATATAGTAGAATCTGCTGACCAGTTAGATATATAGGGAAACTGCTGACCAGTTAGATATATAGAGAAAATATATTTTTGCCGTGAAATTGTAATTCATTTTATAATGTATGCAAATTCAATATATTTTATAAAATTTATGTCGACATTTAATTAAGTAAAACACACTGCTGACCAATTTAATATTATTTCAAATTGATTTAAGCCGTAAAAGTCTTCTTATTCTATATGGTCAGCAAATTTAACGCTCTTTACATTCAGGCGAGAAAAATGCATATAGTAGAATCTGCTGACCAGTTAGATATATAGGGAAACTGCTGACCAGTTAGATATATAGAGAAAAATATATTTTGTCGTGAAATTTTAATTCATTTTATAATGTACGAAATTCAATATATTGTATAAAATTTTGTCGACATTTAATTAAGTAAAAACACTGCTGACCAATTTAATGTTAATTCAAATTGATTTAAGCCGTAAAACTCTCTTATTCTAAATGGTCAGCAAATTTAACGCTCTTTACATTCAGGCGAGAAAATGCTGACCAGTTAAACATATATAGTAGAATCTGCTGACCAGTTAGATATATAGGGAAACTGCTGACCAATTAGAAATATAGAAAAAAATATATTTTGCCGTGAAATTGTAATTTCATTTTTATTATGTATGCAAATTCAATTTATTTTATAAAATTATGTCGACATTTAATTAAGTAAAACACTGCTGACCAATTTAATGTTATTTCAAATTGATTTAAGCCGTGAAACTCTTCTTATTCTATATGGTTAGCAAATTTAACGCTCTTTACATTCAGGCGAGAAAATGCTGACCAGTTAAAACATATACACATGTAGTAGAATCTGCTGACCAGTTAGATATATAGGGAAACTGCTGACCAGTTAGAAATATAGAAAAAAATATATTTTGTCGTGAAATTTAATTCATTTTATAATGTACGAAATTCAATATATTGTATAAAAATTTTGTCGACATTTAATTAAGTTAAAACACTGCTGACTTATTTAATATTAATTCAAATTGCAATTATTGCTTTTGAAAATACATTTTTTTTCCGTTACAAGATTTTTCTATTGAAATATCACTAACAAGAGATTTTGATAAAACTCATAACATCATAATTCTTTATAAAACATTAATTCAATTTTTTGCATATCTTTAGAGGTATAAAAGCTGTTTAATATATCCTTTTAAAATCACGGATTTATATTACATGTAGTAATGTAAATCCGTGTTAAAATGTATGATATTATGGTACTTTAAATGTATATATTAATTTAGTTTATAAACATAGTCATATAAATGCAAAAATTAAAAATATAATTAAAAGAATAAAAGTAATTTCCCATCTTTTTATTACCCCTACGGCGTGTTTATATAACTTCACACCTTCAATGTTTCCCTTCTTTGTGTAACTGGTCAGCATTTTCCGATAATCCTTCTTTATTTAACTGGTCAGCAGTTTCCTATATATCTATATCGTCAGCTAATTCGTCAGCAGTTTAGTGCGACCCTTCCATGATCGCACCGTTTGTTCGGTGAGTTAGTAAATTCTGACCAAGCACCGGTAGACGCACGACAATGCGATACGATATTATTCCAAATGTCGCTTCGCATTGTCGAGTGTCGCTTCGCGTTGTCGAGTATCGCTTCGCGTTGTCGAGTGTCGCTTCGCATTGTCGAGTGTCGCTTCGCAATGTTGAGCGTCGCGGTGTAAAAATCATAAAAATAACGCGACATTTACTCGACATTTTAAAAAAATGTCGCTTCGCGATGTCGAGTGTCACTTCGCATTGTCGAGCGTCGTATCGCATTGTCGCGTTGTCGTTTCGCATTGTCGAGTGTCGTGGTATGCACTTCTACCAACCTCGACACTCGACAATGCGAAGTGAACAATGCGACAACGCGAAGTGACATCGCGAAACGCGAAGTGACATCGCGACAACGCGAAGCGACGCTCGACAATGCGAAGCGACACTCGACAACGCAAAGCGACATTTCTTAAATGTCGCCCTTTTTTACCGCGACATTTCTAGGCGACAGTGCGACATATCGTTTGACACTGTCGAGCGTCGCTTCGCATTGTCGCATATCGCTTCGCGTTGTCGAGCGTCGCTTCGCATTGTCGCGATGTCACTTCGCATTGTCGTGTGTCTACCCTTAGACGCGACGGACGACATTCTAAATGGCACGATAAGGACACCGTATATAACCTTAAAATTCATTTGTAATTTTAGGCTCAAGCAAAAGTTGCAATTTTCGATGTATAATTGATAAAGAATGTATACCAGAGAGTTGGAAGTGTAATGGTGTAAAGGAGTGTAGATTTGGTGAAGACGAATACTTGTGTGATAAAACTACTGGTAAATATGTTTTATAATTGTGACTGATATTTGATCATATAGGGAGAACTGTTCTACTCACCTGGATGTAGGCATCCTCACACCTGGATTATTTTTGTAATAAATTCATAAGAGTCTGTTCCAGTATATTTTTGTGCCCCCACGTTAGTGGCGGGCATTTAGATTTACCCTTGTCCTTCCGTCCGTCCTTCCGTCCGTCCGTTCACTTTTTGTGTCGCACGTAACTCAAAAAGTATTTGACCTAGAGTCATGAAACTTTACAGGAATGTTGATCAGCATGTGTAGTTGTGCACCTGGGTATTTTGGTCTGGATATTTTTAGTATTTTCAGAGTTATTGCCCTTGACTTAGTAAAATTTTGCAATTTTCAACTTGTGTCGCATTCAACTCAAAAAGTATTTGACCTACAGTCATGAAACTTTACAGGAATGTTGATCAGCATGTGTAGTTGTGCACCTGGGTATTTTCGTCTGGATATTTCTAGTATTTTCAGAGTTATTGCCCTTGACTTAGTAAAATTTTGCAATTTTCAACTTGTGTCGCATGTAACTCAAAAAGTATTTGACCTAGAGTCATGAAACTTTACAGGAATGTTGATCAGCATGTGTAGTTGTGCACCTGGGTATTTTCGTCAGGATATTTTTAGTATTTTCAGAGTTATTGCCCTTCACTTAGTAAACTTTTTCAATTTTCAATATGTGTCGCACATAACTCAAAAAGTATTTGACCTAGAGTCATGTAACTTTACAGGAATATTGATCAGCATGTGCAGTTGTGCACCAGGTATTTTCGTCTGGATTTATTTAGTATTTTTAGAGTTATTGCCCTTCACTTAGAAAATTTTAGCAATTTTCAACTTGTGTCGCAAGTTTCTCAAAAAGGATTTGACATAGTCAATAATTATGGGCAGGTTGCTCAGCATATTTTAGATTTGCACCTGGGGTTTCCCTTGTGGATTTATCCAGTATTTGTAGAGTTATTTCCCTTGACTTAGTAAAAAGATTGACAAAACAGTGTCGCGGTGGGGGCACCCGTGTCCTATGGACACATTTCTAGTTAATATCTATGAAACTGGTAAATACATGTATATAATTGTGAAGTGTGACTCCATGTTACAAGTTTGATAAGGAGGCACAGAAACATGAGATCAGAAATATTGACTCATATGTTTGGATGAGAAAAATACCTCAGTCACATCATTAGCCTATAAAGTTTGTTCTTAGCCTATTTTTTAGAGTTTTTTAAGGACAACCTCCATAAATCTTTCACAAAAAGAAAGTCTGTAACATAAAATCTTAAGTGCAGTGAGAATACAAACTCACTGAACATACTTGCTTTTGTGCTTAAATTCATATTTGACATTTTTTTTGTAGCTCAAATGATATCTAAAGTATGTTATATATAGTAACAATCAAATCAGAAACCTAACAACTGCTTTTCAGCTGTTAACAGAGAACCGACAACAACAACAACTAGAGCCCCAGCTACAATAGACCCATCTTGTTTTGATTGTTATGTAACAATGTATGGCAAGTCCATTTGTCTACCCTTCAAATACGTGTGTGACGGAATCCCTCATTGTCGCAACAATCTTGATGAAAACCAGTTTATGTGTGGTAATGATTACTGAATTTCTTATTCTGGAATTTAATAATGCATAAAAAAGATTTGTGTAAATGAAGCATATTGTTGGTTTTTAAGTTCACCAGAACAGGAAGTGCACAGTCAAGGTGAACTATTGTGATACCGCTGTGTCTGGCAATTATTGTTAGTGTTATTCTTAAACAATATCTTATCCGAAACCTTTCGGCCAATTGTAATGAAACTATACAGGATTGATGCTTTTGTGGACTTCCTTACAATTTGCTGAAATGATTTCAGGGATTTTTTGGGGGGCTTATTTTAAAGTCAATATTTTGGTCATATTCCCAATTGAAAATAGTATATTATTTTCCCAATCCACAGGAAAAAATTCCCAATTGAAAGTTAGAAAATGAAAATATTGAGAAACAAATTTTGAAATCTTTGAAAATCCGGGCTTCTTCACTGTTATGGAGGGATGCCATCCTAGATGATTCTTTGCATTCATTTAATCACTGCAAAATTTAAGTCATGCATTTTTTTTCCAAATTTTTAACAAAACATCACTCAATTTCCCAATTTTATGTGCATGAGTCATGTTCCCAAAATCCTGGGGAAGAAACCCTGGATTCAGTGTAATAAACAAGATGGCTGCCAGAGCTAAAAACAGAAAATAACTTTACATGACATTTTCTCCTCAGTCACTTTGTCAATAATGATGAAACTGTACAGGAATGATACTTTTGTGGACCTTACAAAAATGCTTAAATGGTTCTGATCTTAAATAAACAGAGGGGCTGCCAGAGCAAAAAATTTTAAAAAAAAACCCAAAAATTTGGGCCCATTTCTTTTTTCAACCACCTTGTGGGATTTTGAAAAATTTTTACAGGATTGACCCCTCTTTTGGGAAAGTTTTACAAAAATTGTTTTTCGAATTTAATTGTATTTAAATTTTAACGTAAAATCATTTTAAATTTTAACCCAATAAACCCTTTTGGAAAACCCATTGATCCTTGTGAAAAATTTTTGCTAAAATCATAAAAGTCAAAAATTAAACTTTTTAAACGCCCCTTTCATAAAAGGGAATACTACAACCAAAAACCCACAATCTGTGACATCCCGGTTTTTCCGGAGCATTTATTGTTTTGTGATAAGTACCCGTCACTAAAAGATGTTTACACAAAAATGTATAGATGGACTTTTGTAAAACCCATTTGTCCCAAAGGGGGGCTGAAAAACCCTGATATTGTTGTGGTTTTGAAGATTATTAAATCTTTATATTTCTTTTTACCACTTTTTAGGGAAAAAAAACCCGGGTTAAAATGAAGCATTTTCCCCTTAGTGGTTAATTTTTGACGTGGAAATATTTCCCGTTTTTCCCCCGAATAGAAATTTTTACGTTTTTTTGATCGCCCCAGAGTTTTCGGGTTTGGGAAAAATTTTTTTTATCATTTGAACACATTTTTTTTACCCCTTGACATTTTTCCCTCTTCAAAAAATTGAAAATTTAATTTTTTCTCATTCCCCTTTTTTTTAAATTTTTTTTTAAAAAAATCCAAACAAATTAAATGAAAAATTTATGGTGTTAAAATTAACAAAATATGACAATATTATCAAACATCCAAGTGAAGCTAATCTGATTAATAAAAAACTACGTTTTTATAACTTCTTTAATCAAGTTTTTAAGTAACGGAAATCTAATTAATGTCTCATTCTATCATTTGGGTTTAGGTGACAGCGTATGTAACAGGAAAATAGAAAATCTGTTCACTGGTTGGGTTTGCCTTCACCAAATTTTTTCCTAGTTTTATACTCCCTCAACATTCCAAGTTGTTCCTTTGGGTTTACCACAAAACGGTAAGCGCCATTTTATGGCCATATAATATAGTCATGTAAATTATGGTCATTGATGCAAATTTAGAATATGTTTAGAGATCCTTGGTCAATAATTTGTTTTCATGGTTGCTGGATTTTGCCCCGGTTTTTGTATATTATTAGTTTTGTTTCCAAAATCGATTATATTTAACAAATGAAAGGTGAATTAATAAAGTTCAAACCGTTTGCATACATTTGATTTCTCGTCTGGCACTGAAAACAATGGAGCCTTCTGTCTTACAAGCAATTTTGATACAGTTCTATATTTAGAGAATTCTATAAAACTAGCTAATAATAGTGTGTATCTATTTTAGATGTTGCACTGTGTTATATGTTATATGTCTTATTTTCTTTGGCACTAGGGTTCTGGATCAAGTTCAACCATACAGCTTAGAGTAGTAGCGTTTTACTTGGAGAGTGAGGCTAATACAGACTATGTCAGAGTTTATGATGCGCCCAGATAGCACATACAAAGTTATTGGAACATACTATGGACTAAATCCCCCACCATATCTAATAGAGAGCTCTTCAAACTGGTTAAATGTTGTTTTTCCATAGTGATTACTTTGAAGAGTACAGGGGATTTTAATTTACATATCAGATTAAAGGTAGTGTGAAACAATAATGCATTCAAGATAGTGACATAATAATACATTAAAGTTAGTGTGATACCAATAATGAATTAAAGGTAGTTGGCACATCAAAAAACACAATATAGGTAGTATAATACAAAATAGACTTTTAAGGAAAATGCGAACCTTATCATAAATGAAAGCTGGTATAGAACACAATCATTAAATTAAAACTGTGACAATATTTAATAGATAAAGTGTCAGTTAGTATATATTTTTGCCCATTATGAAACTAATTTTTATTGTCCCCCCGCCTTCTTGGAAGAAAAAAAGGGGAATATAGTAAAAGGCTCCGTCCGTCTGTCCGTACGAACCTAGAGGTACTTGTGTGACTTGGAGAACATTGGGAAACAGTAAATTCTCTTGATCCTATTCATTCTGTTATTACTTGTGTGTCTTTTTTTAAGCCTTGTGTGACTAAAAATGGCCAAAAAGATCAAGGGAAAAGTCACATAAGTGACATTTTGCGAGTACTTAAGTTCCTCTGTCTGTCAGTCCGTCCTCACACTTTCGTGTCCGGTCCATAACTTTGTCATTTATCAAAGGAATCTGAAATAAACTTGGCACAAAATGTTTGTTAAAATTAAGACAATGTGTCATGCGCAACAACCTGACCCCTACCTCCAGGGTCAAACGTCGCACTTGCTCATTCAAGGTCAACATTGCTCTATTTGATGGTTTATGTCTTGTCCGGTCCATAACTTTCTTATCTTTGAAGGGATTTTGTTAATACTTGCCACATTTGTTCTCAATAATGAGACGATGTGTCATGCACAAAAACCGGTCACCTACCCTCCAAGGTCAAGGTCACACTTGGAGGTCAAAGATTAACATAGTCTATTACAGGGTATATTTTGTGTCAGGTCCATAACTTTTTCATAGATCAAAGATTTTGTAAATACTTGCCACAAATAGTCACCTATAATAAGACAATGTGTCAATGCGCAAACCTGCATCCCTACCTCCAAGTTAAAGGTCACACTTAGAGGTCAAAAAGTTAACATAGTCTGTTTTAGAGGTATATTTTGTGTCTGATCTAGAACTTCTTCAGTTGATTTTGAAATAACTACGCAAACAGTCACAATAATAAGACAATATGTCAGGAAACAAAAACCTGCACCCCCAACACCCAAAGGGTCAAGGTCCCCATTTAAGGGGCCCAAAGGTTAACAGAGCCCTGTTATATGGTTTTATTTTGGGGCCCCCGTCTAAAAATTTTTTTTCCCATAGATAAGGGGATTTTTGAAAATATTTTCAAAAAATAGTCAAAATAAATTAAGATAAATATGTCATGCGTAACACATGTGCCCCTACCCCCCAAAGGGGTTCAAGGTAAACAAAATAGAGGCCCCAAAAATTTCCCATATTTCTTTTTAAAATGGGGTATTTTTTTGTGTCCACCAAAAACCTTTGGGTTTTAAAATACTTTCCACAAAATATTTTCGGGCAAAAAACCCAAGGGCTCTACCCCCAAGGGTCACCCCCTTAGAGGTCAAAGATTGACATAGTCTGTTATAGGGTATATTTTGTCTGTCCGATCTATAATTTCTACATAGTTCAAGGGATTTTGAAAATACTTGGCACAAATATGTCATGCACAACACCTGCACCCCTACCTCCCCAAAGGTCAAGGTCACACTTAGAGGTCAAAAGGTTAACATGATAGAATTTTTTAAATTCTGTGTTTCATTTTACTTGTATTTCTTTTAATAAATTTATTGTTGCATTTGCATTTGCCAGATCTAGCATTGATCATAATTTTGGACTGAAAGTCCTGAAATCCATACCTCAATCTTTTGAAATAGCACAATTTTATGCTTCATATAAAACTTCCCCGAGACGGGGGACGTTGGTAAACTCTGTTTTACAAATTCTTGTATTAATATATAAAATGTTAGGTTCGTTTTATATGATTTTAGGTGACGGGTTTTCCCAAACCCCAGTTTAGCATTTTTTATGGGGTGAAAGAACTGCTATAATCCCCTGAAAAGGTAAAAGATGAAAGGGAATTTCTGGGACTTCCGGTTTGAAAGGCCCCCTATGAGTTTGGATGGGGAAAAAGTTTTACTTCTTATAACTTTATGGATAAAAGTTAATTGCTTTGCTATAAAAAGGGAAAAAAGGGTTTGTTTAAAATTTTAAATTTTTTAAATTTCAAGCTCCTTAACAGATTTCCCTTTTTTTAAAAATAATGTATGTTATTTATATTTGACCCAAAAATAAAATAATTGAAATTTTCCCAAGTTTTGTGGAGTCCCCAATTTTTTTCCCTACTTATTAAATTGTATGCTCCCATTATATGTAGAAAAAAGGTTATGAAATTTTAAATTTCAAAATTTTTGTATCTTTTAAATATGATTAAAAAACATTTTAAGCTAAATAAAAGTAGAATTTTTAAATTAAATATCTTTGCAAGGTCTTAGAATATGAAAAAAACAAACAAACCATCATTGAGAAAATAGAATTTTGGGGGGCCACCAGGCCATCATTGATTACTTGGCCCCTTGAATAAGGTTTTTTTTAAAAACACGTTTCCAAAAATGTTTGTATTCATTTCCCATTACTTCCAATGCAATTTACAGTTAAAGAAACATTAAAATTGTTAGGTAATCCTAACTATATTTAAATTGTAAGGGTAAATTGGTAAAGGGGGACTATACCCTGGTGGAATAAAAAGACCAGTTCAGTTTAAATTATCCTATGGAGAGATGTAACCCGGCCTGGCCGTAATTTCCAACAGCTTTTGATGAACTGAATGCAGTATGTTATACCTTTAGTGTGAATCTAATTGAACCTTTCTATGTAAATTTTACAGAATAATTGAATAATCAAATGGTGTTTCTGATACATATACCAAAGAATATGACAATCATTTTTCGAGGGCTGATTATTGGTCATTGACAAGACAGTAATAATTACTTATCATAATCAAACTGAAAGTCATAAGCCTTTCCCACCTGTATCGTCTGGTGCCCTAAATTTTTCCCTGTCCTAGAATCAACACCCTTCCTGTCTATGTCAGAAAGTCTCAGCAAATTTTTGTTAAGAGAGAAAACAGTTGGATATTTTCAAACATCATTGTAAATTTAATAATTCTGCCAAATTTCTTCAACATGGCTTGCTTGGAGCATTAGAAAATAGAAAAAGTAGCACTGTAAAATGCTTAGGGTGACGAATCATGGCCACCTGAGGATATATACATGTATCCTTGATGACTGACCTGGCTCTATACGGTTGGCTGATTAACTTTTCATCTAAATATCCCCAATATAACAGTTCCAAAAATGAAAGCTAGACAAGTCCATGTAAGAAAGTCATCATGTTAAAAGTAAAGACCAAGACAAGAAAAAGAACTTGACTTTTGGACTATTATTATTGTTTTAACTTTATTTTATAATTTTGTTGCTTCAGCGTCTGATTTGTGTGGTTCTCATAACGGGACATTTCTGTGTGACAACAGACGTTGTATCTATGAATCTTGGACATGTGATGATAGAGATGATTGTGGTGATAACAGTGATGAACAATTCTGTTCAGGTATGAATATATTCTAGTTTCACACTATAACATACTTGATGTCACACAAGTGACAACAAAGTTTCGTTTTGAGAGGGCACCCACTCGTACAATAAATTGGAATTGTTTGGTCAAACTCTTAGCTTTGCCATTTTTAATTCACCAGAGCGCAAAAGGCTTGTTGCATAGTTTGTCTGGCCATCTGTTCATTTATGTTTCACACTTGACTTTTGGTCATTATATGTTTGATTAAATAATTGATACAACTTTATAGTGTAGTTTATTGCATAGTTATACATTTTGACTGGCACAGGATGATTCATACTACATCTATGGTGAATATAAAAAAGAATTTCAAAATTCCATTTGCTAGTTTAATATAATCATATTTATGCGTAAAGTTTATCTCTATCATTGCATTGCATTCATTTAACAATCTTTTTCAGGGACAACAAAAAGAGTAACAATAGCAGCAATATGTGGGTCAATGATCTGTGCTTTGTTATTGGTTATCCTGCTAGGCTGCTCTTGTAAGCTATATTCTCTAAGGACGATGGATCATCATCATCGATACCCACGACACGAAACTCCTATGAGCCGCTTGTATGCTGAGTTTTTGCGACGACGAGCCCCACCGCCATATCACGAGGCTATGCTCACCTCTAGAAACTTTGATGAGGTACAGCAGGAATACTTGGAACGGATGAGAAACTCCCGCCGAAGTCATAGAGGTCGTGGGAACAGACGCCGATCTAGAAACCAACAAACTCAATCACAAACAGACTCTTGGAGATGCGACAGAAAATCAGAGCAATTACAAATAACCAGAATGAAAATATACATGAAGAAGCAAAGTGGTATGCAGCTGTGCACAATAACTGAAGGAAATGAGAACCATAATAATATTGAAAGATCATCTTCCTCTGCTGAGCTCTTGCCGTCTGAAAGTGAAAGCGATTCTGAATCAGATGATATCGAAAGTGAAAACAGATCTTGCAGAGCAAGGTGAAGGTCATTCTAGAGGAGAAAACATGTCAAATACTCGAGATAATAGGGATGATGATGATGTAGAAAATATATTAGCCTCTACCAGTCTTTCAGCCCAGTGGATGAGGACGGCAGATAGTGATGACTCATCTGATGATGTATGTATCCTTGGAAACAATTTACAAGAAAGTTCTTTGACCTCCAACACAAGGGGTCAAGGTCATTGTGACAATATTAGCATAGATACAGAGGCCACAGCCTCTATTGCTAGCATTGAGCACCAAGATATACGTAATAATGAAACTCTGATGAAAGATAGTGAGTCTGAAAATGAATCTGATTCTGATAGAGATACTCTTGAAAATTCCAGAAATTCCACGCCAAAACCAGACAATAACCATGGCAACACTGTGATATCAGAGACTAATAATGGCTTTTTGAGAAGAGCCAACTCTCATGGCTCTCTGAGTTCTGAAGGATCTGAGACATTTAGTGAGAATGATGTGCCTTTACTTTCAATGAATTCAGTGTCTCCTCAACACTTTTAACATTCCCTATGACAGAAAACTCTCCAGCTGATGTAGGAACTACATAGATAATATCATGTTGAAATTTTAACGTATTACATTCGTATATGTATTGTTAACTTTGATATAATTCAAAGATTTATTTTATGGCTGTTTCTGATACATTTTTACCAGATTTAATTAATGAAATACAGTCGACTCCACTTATAACGAACTCGCTTATAACGAATTATCGTTAATAGCGAACTAAATCTGACATCCCCGGCTGATTCCTTCTTTATCTTATATTAAATCACATCGCTTAATACGTACTCGCTTATAACGAATTTTCGGCTATAACGAACCATTTTTTTCAAGCCCCAAATGACGGAAAACATGTAGATTTCCTTGGTTATAACAAACTGTTATAATTAAAATATCGGGATTAGCTCGATTAGGAGCAGTACATGAATAACGCTATCCGTTAATTATACAATCGAATGATTGCACAGGTTAGTAAGCGCTTCAGGGAATAAAGATTTTTATGAAATGTTCTCACAATATCATTTCCTAAATGTTACGGAAAAATGGTATTTCGCACTTTCAGTTGATTGCTGTAAATACCCGATAATTACCCAATAATCGATTGTTTTGTTTGCAATATTAACCAAACGATAATAAACAAATAGCAAAAGAATACTTTATAGACAAGTACTACATGAATAAATACATGTAATATGTACTTAATATATTGTTTAATAAAATGCCCCGCATTTAATAACCATTTAATAACCGCTGCCGTAAAATAACGGTTACACCGGTAACCAGTGAAAAGTATGGCTTTTTCACGGTCAATTTCCCCACCCAAACAAGTCAACAAGTTGTTGCTACTTCGCTTGTAGCGAACTTCGGATATAACGAACGATATTTTGATGTCCCATTGAGTTCGTTATAACCGGAGTCGACTGTATGATACTTCAGTTTAGTAAACAAAGTGGATTGCTTATTGCCGTTAATGATCATGATTTAACTATTTAAGCTGTAAATCTTAAGAATCAGATTACAGTATGGAATTTTTGTTTTAATTGACACACTCTGTAGAAAATGTTACTGTAAAGCTGTTGACCATCTGCTTAATTGTATTTTCTTACGTTTTTGGTTTAGATTTTAGAAATCTACTGTGAAGTGGGAAAATTTTCCATTTGTCATTCTTAGTTATTAATTTTCCAGAAGTATAGGATGAGCAGTCTGTATGTTTGGATGTGAACTGGTGTTAATGATCTTAGCTGAAACTTCTGGTCAAAGGTTAAATAATGATAAATCATGGAAGCATCTCTACTTGATAGACCTGTCATCTGTATCTTGTTGAGTTATGTCATGATTTTAATTTTGAATTCATACATACTTTTTAATGATCTCTGAACATGAATATATGGCTGTATGTACAAGAAACATTGTTTATTTAATTTTTAAAGTAATTGAAACCCCCATTTTTAAAACAAAACGATGTTTAACGTAACAACCTTTATTGTCAGATATTTTTCATATTTTCTGACTCAAATGTGCTGATTTTGAGCAAATGAATCATTTAAAATGTGTTCTCTTATTTCTTGGTTATAATCAAACATACTTTTGTCCCAATAAATGTCTCAGAAAGTTTAAAAGCAATGTTACCAAGAAAAAATAATTCACATCATATCTGCTGCCTCGGGTAAGAGATGCAGATGTATTTGGGAGATGCAAGATATATATCTGTAATCAGCATTTCTATTCATTGAAGAAATGATTTGTAACATAATATGACACTGTCATTGGGGAATTTACTGTGAGCTTGCTTTTATAGAAACAGCTTTAGCTGTGATATATATTAAATTATCAGAAATTTAACTTGCTCATATTTGCTTTATAATAACTGTCTACAAATATATGCAGACTTTATATGGGTTTTATATGAAAGGAATATACAATAATATGATTATAGTGTAAATGAACTTAGATCATGACATAAATATCTGATTTTTATATCCACATTGGAATATTCCACACATGGAACTATCTTTTCAACACTTTTGTTTATACTGTCTGATTGGGCAGTTACAGGGTTACATTAATGGTGTGATCAGTCTGTATTTAGTTTGTTTTTATACCATTTTCCTTATAGGTTGTTGGTACTGAAAATGTTGACATAAAAATAAGGGAAGTACAGTGAAAGGTCATATTTAGTTGGACTGCTTATGATAAGGGATGTTTACAATCAGAAGAAAATTATATAGTTCATAAAAGATAAATGAAGTATTGATAATATTCGTTTAGAATCTTGTAAAGCTAGAATCAGAGGCTTTGATAGCAGTTGGTTTCTACACTGTATTGTATATCAGTGAAACAGAATTCTGTAGAAGTTAACAAAACTTGCTTATTTTGACTTGGTTATGTAAGGGATTTATTGTTGAATAAGGGATATATTTTCTACTTATGTTTCATATTATATTTAGGATGTTTTTACATACATACTTAATTGCCATATCACATATATTATTTTGCTTTGTAAACTGATTTGTAAAATTTATGTTTTAATGTTTATTGTATAAGACAGGAGCTACTGACCCACTAGTTTTATTTTGTGATATACATATATAATTATTATATTAAAGTACAGTATAACAATGTATGTATCTGTGTACAAGCTGTGCTTTCTTATTCTTAAACAGATATTTTTATTTTATCATATTTTACACTTGTAAATATTGTCTTTTATTTTCAAATTTGTATGCCCCTACTTTTCAATTGGGGAGCATTTTGTGAAGGGATAGTTAAATACGTCTGCACATATATCCTGTTATCTTTGCCTAATCAATAACTTTTTCAGTAATCTGTCATTTTTGCACTTAGTAGAGACCTAGCCAATGACTACTAGAAGTCCCCTATTTATATTGAGGTCATTATGTCAAGTTCATAAGGGACAATACAATCAATAACTTGAGGAGCCTTACTTGGTAGAGACATTGCCCACAACAGTAGATGACCTTCATTGATTTTGAGGTCAAAGATCAAGGTCACACTGACATTTTGTGTAAAATGCTTTTCTGATCAATAACTTTAGAAGGGATAAGCCTAAGTTTGTCAAACTTTGTAAGGAAATTTCTCATGGCCAGTGTGTGACCCCTATGAATTTTAAAGTCATAATGTCAAGGTCATAGTAACATTTGATGTGATAATCTTGAAAAACCATAAGCTAGAGTTTCCTCAGTTACAGGGTTATGAGACTTATTAGTTATAATTAATGCAATATTAATAAGTAACTCTCGACTTGTATCAAAATTTTTTAAGTATAGTATGTAAATATGTCACCGACAGCCAACTGAAGTGGGGGCATATGTTTCCTATGAATACAGTACTGCACATAGTTTAGAAATATTTTGCCAAAATTGATGTCTGGACATAGACCTAAAAAGGAAATTTTGCTCCATTTTGTTTTGTTTTACAATCATATACCATTAACAGGGATGACATTGATATAAGGTAATATCAATTCAGTACCAGTCATAGCTTAACGTAAATTAAATCAGGATGATATAGAGTAAATAAGACATTGGCGTAATGAGGTAATATTGACTGAATTTAATGTGTGGAAGATTCCAGGGTACTGAACCTGCCCCTTATTCCTATATTTGCTGAACCAATGCTGTGCTTGTGTACCAGAAAAAGCAGATGGAAGGTGTTTAGGGGACATTGTTCCCACAATGCAGGGACATTATTAGGGATATGCTGGCCTCAAAGTCACAGTTACATATTACCCAAGGAGAGGGGACAGGGTTTCAAGGGGCAGTTTTTCAAATTCAAGGGTTATGTATTATGATGCGACACACACTAATAAAATAGAGAGAAACAGAATCCCTAAGTAAGAAAAGTGCCACTGTTGATTAGGTAAACTGAAAGAAACATTCATGTTGTGTGACATTGTTTACGAAGAATATCATAAAAATTAATGTATCAATATTTGTTCAATATTTTAATAATTTCATGTTAAGAAACACTTGCAGCCTAACTGCAAGTATATGTTTCATCTTTTTTGTTATTTTATTCAATCAAGAAATTAATTCTATTGTTAACATTATGTAGATGTGCTGCATTATTGTTTTTATTTTATACACCTGAAATAAAAAAGAAGAATTGTAACAGTAGTTAATGTGTTGTATTTTATACATAAACCACTTTTACAGTATACTGATTATTAACCAGGTTTTCAACGAAAACCGGGTTATTGTAATGCCAAAGTCGGCGGGCAGGCGGGCTGCGGGCGTCAACTTTTGGTTTCCGCTCAATAACTTTAGTTTGCTTTGGCCTATTGACACCAAACTTGGTGTGTAGGTAGCTTATATCAAGAGGCAGCTTGGGATTGCTACCCAGGTGTCTGTGATCAAGGTCAAGGTCACTGTTACTAACAATAGAAATTCAGTTTCTGCTCAATAACTTAAGTTTGCTTTGGCCTATTGACACCAAACTTGGTGTATGGATA